TGAAAAGTCGTGGAGAACGTTATGCTGCCTGTAACATTGTCCAGCATGACCGGTTTGGTGGTGGGTCAGTGATGGTCAGGGGAGGCATATCCATGGAGGGACACACAGACCTCTACAGGCTAGACAACAGCACATTGACTGCCATTGGGTATCGGGATGAAATCCATGGACCCATTGTCAGACCCTTCGCTTGTGCAGTGGGTCCTGGGTTCCTCCTGGTGCACGACAATGCCCGGCCTCATGTGGCAAGAGTATGCAGGCAGTTCCTGTAGGATGAAGGAACTAATAGCATTGACTGGCCCCCACGCTCGCCTGACCTAAATCCAACAGAACACCTCTGGGACATTATGTTTCAGTCCATCCGACGGCGCCAGGTTGCACTTTAGACCGTCCAGGAGCTCAGTGATGCCCTGGTCCAGAACTGGGAGGAGATCGCCCAGGACATCATCCGTCGTCTCATTAGGAGGATGCCCCCATGTTGTCAGGCATGCATACAAGCACGTGGGGGCCATACAAACTACTGAGTACGATTTTGAGTTGCTGCAATGAAATTTCGGCAAAATGGACTAGCCTGCCGCATCATTTTTTCACTTTGATTTTTGGGGTTTCTTTGAATTCAGCCCTTTGTAGGTTGATAATTTTCATTTCCATCAAACGATGTGGCATCTTTTCATTCCTAACACATTACCTAGTCCATATCAGTATAGATATCCAGCATGATTTTTTTTCCCCATTGAGATCTGATGTGTTTTCAAAGTGTTCCTTTAATTTTTTTGAGCAGTGTACTTTAAATCACATCCGTGATGGTCTTTGCTATTTTAATAGTAAACTTTCAAAGTAGACAGTGACTAAAAATATAAAAATATCTTCCTGTTCATTTTTTTTCCCAATTACAGTCATTGCATTTCATGTTTCACCTTTGTAATATGCGTACGCTTTTATTTTACAGTAAAATACCGTTAAAACAGACTTCAAGGGACCTGGCAAAACAGTCCGTTACATACAGAGTTGCTGTTTGCCCAGAACACAACTACAGGACACCATTTACTCATGCCACACCTCAGCAGACACACTTGTGGTATAGATTATTATATTGTACATGTAGTAATCCAACTTTACCTGACCAGATGCGTAGATCCACATTTACAGCTGACATCGCAGCCTTCCTATAATGATAGATGACATGCGGGTGCTACCACCTGAGGAAGTTCTCCCCTTCCCAATCGCTCAAGTTGGTTACGCCCAATAGACCGACTTTTAGCCTACAGATTAACTTGGTAAAATAGCAGTTAGCGTAACAGTATGGAAAAAAAGAGACCAAGGGGGGGAGCCTGAAAAGGCCAGGCTAAGAAAAAAAAGCGTTGGAGGAGGATGCGGCCAAATGTGCCAAAATCAGAGAGATTTTTACAAAAGAACGAAAAGAACTGGCAGCATGTAAATGTGGTTAACCTGTTGCAAAATATTAAACCAATTCAAATATTAGCGTATTTCTATAGCTTATCATGACGAATCAATGTGTGCGCAAATGTAATTAAAAAAATGTATATATAAAAAACTAAAGCACAAGTGACCATTTAACCATTTGTAGTTTCTGACCAGTAGTCCCCTGTCAGTCGGTGTTCTGCCACCGCGGTTGTTCTGCCAAGAATGAGGGACTGATGAGCAGTGATGATGCCAGGACGGTGGAGGGGGCAGGTATTATATATGAATTAAAGTTACTTAATTTAAATCCACATACAGTGATCCGCCGCTGTATCGCGAATTTTCCCCCGACGCATCACAGTTCTCTGCGTATTGCATACCTTGCTTGTGGCCCTATATTATTGTGAGCAAACCTTTTGTGAACTTTTCGCTTTGTTTTAAGCCCTATGATTTAAGGCTTAAACTACAAAGAAATGTTTGTTTATATGGTCTGTCTATATCGCGGATTTTCACCTATCGCTGATGGATCTAGAACGTAACTTCAGGCAGCTGTTGCCGTTATAGATGGCTACTGTTATAGATATTATGTTATTCTTGTTTAAGCCATTTACAGGTAAAAATTTGTATAGTGCAATATACCTCACATGTGAAGAACTTGTGTTTCGTTCATATTTGAAAAAAGCAAATAAAACCAATAAGAAGTGAAGTATCGCCTCATTTATCCAGTTTTCACTTTCCTGAAAAAAAAGTGGGCTGGACATGGACATGAAGCTCCCGGAGCTGCAGCCGGAAATCACTACAGAGAGCAGTGGGGACGGCACAGCATTACATACGGTACGGGAGCTCCTCTGCACGTAGCCAGAAATCACTACAGAGAGCAGTGGGAACGGCACAGCATTACAGAACGGTATGGGGGCTCCTCTGCCCACAGCTGGACATAACTACAGAGAGTAGTGGGGACGGCACAGCATTACAGTACGGTACGGGAGCTCCTCTGCACACAACTGGACATCACTATAGAGAGCAGTGGGGACGGCACAGCATTACAGTACGGTATGGGGGCTCCTCTGCAGATAGCCGGAAATCTCTACAGAGAGTAGTGGGGACGGCACAGCATTAGAGTATGGTACGGGGGCTCCTCTGCACCCACCGGAAATCACTACAGAGAGCAGTACGGTACGGGGGCTCCTCTGCCCACAGCCGGAAATGACTACAGAGAGTAGTGGGGACGGCACAGCATTACAGTACGGTACGGGAGCTCCTCTGCACACAGCCAGAAATCACTATAGAGAGTAGTGGGGACGGCACAGCATTACAGTACGGTACGGGAGCTCCTCTGCCCACAGCCGGAAATGACTACAGAAAGTAGTGGGGACGGCACAGCATTACAGTACGGTACGGTACGGGAGCTCCTCTGCCCACAGCCGGAAATGACTACAGAGAGTAGTGGGGACGGCACAGCTTACAGTACGGTACTGGGGCTCCTCTGCCCACAGCCGGACATCACTACAGAGAGTAGTGGGGCATTACAGTATGGTTTGGGACATTCCCTACTTTATGATTTTTTAATTCTTTATTTCATTTAATTTCATCTTATCTTCCAATGTTGAGAGAATTGTTTTCCAACTTATCCTTTCATTGTTATGTTGACCCTGTGTTAACATACAAGATAAGTCACTGTATAACAGGGACGACCCTAAAACAAATGTTTGTCTAGTGCTATCGTGTGTTTTACAAGATCATCAAACAGACAAGGTTAACTTTGAAAATATTATATGTTGGCAAAAATCTATTTCTGAACTTCGGCCCGATGATGCCAAAAAACACACAGAAGAAACATAACCTTTCACTGATAATCGTGGTCGCAGTGACGTCACTTTCACTCGCCAAATCCAGCGCGCTGCATCGTAGCAAACGTTAAGTACATTTTATACAAGGATATGTTATCAAGTGTAATGTGAATGAACGACATGGTTTTGACCGCGCAGGATTCTAAACTGAATACAAGAGTGTACAGTATTTTTTAATTACTTAAAGCGATCATTCGGTCTTCTGCTTAAACACTTCAGTTCTGAGTAAAGTAAGAATAATTTCCAAAGGTTTGTCGCACAAAGAAAGTGGAATGCAGTCTCGGACAAGACTCGTCTTTTTGACCTGGGTCTTCTCTAATCTAATTTTAACCGCGGCAATCGAGCCTATTAGTACGGGCATCGCCGTGGGGATGGCAGCGGCTCTCACCGGCCTCCTGGCCAGTTACCAGAATGTGTTTTACTATTTCCAAGAGTGCTGTAGACCGGAATGGATTTCATTTAACAGAACAGGTAGGACATTTCTAAATACAACCAGATCTAATCCTCACCTCCTATACAAAACTGTATGTAGTCTGTTTTGGTATAATACGTCTCCCAGCAAATGTATACAACCTCAGCTCATTATTTTTCGTAATATGTTGTTCCATCGGAGTCGTTCATTCCCTGTTAACATGATTATTAGTCTGCACGTCTTCCATATAACGCGTTTTGATGCAAGTCAGCTTTACAGGATCGTTCGTGTCCCTAATGCAGGCCTAAATATTATGTGTAACGACAAGTCCCAGTGTCGCGAGGCTGGTCGGTCGCAATAATGACGATTTCCGGTGTGACAGTCTGTGCGTCACCAGTAAGGACACGGAAGTGAACGGTTGGCTCCCCGCTTCCGTAGCTGTTTTTTTTGTCTATGCACGGCGTATACCGATTACTTTATTTTAAAAGATGTATTGTAAGTCATAAAAATGCAAAAAACATTAATTGCATGGTTTTTACTACCGGCCGTTTTCGTTAACGTAAATGCATTTGAACCATTTACAGTATCGGTTGTTTTGGGAGCTAGTGCACTGTTAGGGAAGACAATATACAATTATTTTCAAGAATCGTGCAGTGACCAATGGATTGGTTTCAATTCAACGGGTGGGTATAATCCCCAGTCGGTAATTCAAATTAGAGAACACGTAACTTGCTGTTTCATTTGACCCACTAACCCGTCTTTGTCCTTCTTGAAACGTTAACTATGGGTGGCTTGCAGTACTATTTATTTGCTCACGTTAATGCTGTGGGCAAATATATATATATATATATGACACCCAGTGTCACCTTTAACGGGTGATTGATACTTATATGACACCCAGTGTCACCTTTAACGGGTGATTGATACTACTTTATTTGAATCGGTCATTGACTGAAAATTTCAAAACTCTCACAGGGCTCCAAGTGGACCTTGAACAGAAGCTCTTCGGGCAGCACATAGCGTCAAAGGTTTTACTGAAGGCAGTTTCTGGCTTTGTAAACAACAAGAATCCCAAAAAGCCTCTTGTCCTTTCACTCCATGGATGGACGGGAACTGGGAAGAACTTCGTCAGTCAACTCATAGCCTCCAGTATCTACAAAAAAGGGATGTCCAGCAGCTTTGTGCACCAGTTCGTGGCCACTGTTCACTTTCCACATTCACGTGAAATTGACATCTACAAAGTAAGAACAAGAGGGTAATATTGGCAGATATTACACATAACCCCTGCTGAATTTGTTCATTAGTCATGTGACACAGTGGCTGTAGTTGACTGTGAATTTGGATTTTGTATTTCAGTACCAATCAAGCTATGATAACTTCCCGGTTTCACATTGTAGTGCACGTGTCCATCCTGACTCTCTCCAGGCTTTCACTGACATGCATTTCTCCTGCTTTCCTATGGTGTTTACGTAGACCCAACTGCAGCAGTGGATCAAAGGGAATGTGTCCAGTTGTGCTCGCTCTATGTTTATATTTGATGAAATGGACAAGATGCACACTGGACTTATTGACAGTATTAAGCCATTCCTGGATTACTACGAGATGCTGGATGGTGTGTCCTATCGACAAGCAATTTTCATTTTTCTTAGGTGAGTAACTTAAATAGAATTATTTTGTTTGTCTGCCTCATCCTTTTATTTGTCTGCTGTTGTTTGACTCTTCTGGTATCCTTGAATTAAAATTTTGTGCCATTCCTTTTACGTCATCGTGCTTGTTTTTGAGGTTTGGCATTATCTGCATTTTTGAGTTAAGAGTTCAGTTGCTGGGTTCAGTGAAAATCAGCATAGGTGGTTTCTTATCATTTGTACAGTAATGCAGGTGGAGAAAGCATTACGCAGGTGGTCCTGGATTTCTGGAAAAATGGAAAAGATCGGGAAGAAATTCAGCTGTCACACCTAGAATCAGCAATGTCTCTTGAGGTGTTCAACAACAAGAACAGTATGTTACTTTGTCTTTTATTATTAGCGTCCTTTTCATTTTTATTTATTCATTGTGTCTTATTACTTTGGGGGGGGCAGTGGCTTAGCAGGTTAAGCTTCTGTGCGCCCTCCTCCCCCCAGGTCACTGGGTAAATGACGACGAATTCAGGCACCAAAATTGTTCTTATTATGTGTTCTTATTATGATGAATCCATTTGTTCTTGTAAATTGAAAGGGCACGCTAGTTGTTCTTAATTAGCATTGGTAAACGCCCGGTTTAATAGTTTAATAATTATTGTAATCATTAAACAGTTTTTTGAGACTACAGTAACCCCTTCACATTTGCAAGCATTCGGTTCAGAAGATCCCCAGCAGTGTGGAAATTCGCATATAATACTTCAACCCACAACAGTCTGCTATCCTAAACAGTATGGAAGATTATAAGCACAAAAATTGAAATGGCAATTCATTTTGCAATTGGCAATTCAATATTCAATCAGAGGACGCATTTGTCATTTCAATATTTAATCTGAACATGTAATTTTTAAATACATTTTGCAATTGGCAATTCAATGTACAAAGTGCTTATGCAATCCTTAATTCATTTAAAAATATTTTGAATAATAAATAGAAAAACAAGGCACTGAATTGCATTTCGTATTACCATGGGTTTTTTGCCTTTTTATTCAAATGCAATGGCATCCCCGGCAATTGCATTGCATGTTGGGGGGGGGAAACTCAATTTGCAATTCCCAACTGTCAGACCGCTCATCAAGGCGGACCTTCATTAACGACGTCACTTCCTTGTTTAGGGCCTCATCAGCATTCAAAGGATTTGTTCGTTTAGAGAGTAATGGCGACAGAAGAGCCTGAAGCAAATATTTGTGCCTTAGCAGATGACATGGAAAACAATTGGGTATCGGCAATAGATGTGTTTGATAGGTTGCTTTTGCTCTCACAGAGGGTAGAGGAACTTTCCATCTTAACTGGACTTGACACGGGAAGCGTGCAAACTAATCTAAGCAGTCAGTGAGGCGCAGAGTGGGGAGACCCGCCATCGAGATACCTGTGGTGGCCATTGAGGGCTACCTCTATGGGCTGATGTTTGTGCTACTAGAAACTGAATATGAATTGTGTATACTTGAATCTGCAGTTGTCGCATTAAAAAAACTCAATCTGAGTTTATTAGTTGTATCTGAATTCAGTTCGCAAATTCAATTTCAACTTATTGAGGAAAACTTATCGACCACAGGTTCACAATGCAACTCATTTCCACTTTTACACACGCATGCACACGCACATACTTGCGCAGCCCCTCCCCTCCTCTCAATACCCACTAAACGCATTTGCGCTGGTTAGCACACACATACTGAGTTGGCTGATCATGGCATATGCTGCAATTGAAGGCATTTCGCAAGCTGCTTTAGTAAAAAAAAAAAAATTACGCAAAAGTGCCGTTTGGAAGTATTTTGCAGATGAGCATGAAAAGGCTAAGGATGTTGATAAGCCTCTATACAAACAGTGCTACAAAGTTGTGGCGACGAACTCAAGTAGCACGTCAAACCTGGCGAAGCATCTTAAAAACCAACATCCCGGTCTTTACTGACCTCGCAAAATTTCTCTTAAAGCTTGCGTTCCAGCAACACTGAACTATAAAACACATAAAAAATGTTAACACCTTAACATTAGCCGTTTATCTATAAGCAGTTAGCCAACAAACACGTTAGCCATATGTTATCATTAAGGTAGCGGATAGGCGCAATGGCTACTAATAAAATAATATAGTTAATGTGGGAACAATGCAAAATGTAAAACAAAAATGTGTCCTGTAAAATACTCAAAAATGTGGTAAACGCCCAGTCATACTTTTAACAAAAAAAAAAACATCGTATACCGTGATTCCGATATAACTTTCAAAAATACCGTGATATAAATTTTTGGTCATACCGCCCAGCTCTACCGTGAATGTCAAGTTTAAATTTTATAATATCATACAACTAGAATTGAAGAAAACACAATAAGCAATTCTTTCGCGCAAATTTGTCAGCACTCAGATGTGCAAGGGTGTGCTCTTGCATACGTGTATATTCTATTCTTACTTAAGTACGAATCCCAGATAAAACATTGATGTCTGTCTGAATATTCATGAAAAAAACATTGGTGAATGAGGCCCACTGATCCTGATGAATAGTATCACTGACATTCTGCCGGGCGGCTTCTGAAAGGATTCCCTGATGTAGCCAATGTGCTGCTCAGTTACCCTGAAGCGTTTCCTAGAAAGCACTCGGCACGTGGAAGTGGACATGCTCCGTGGAATGCTGGTCCTTTGTATTGTTTTTCTTTCAACTCTCATGGTGCAATCTGTTTCTGTATGTCTCTCCAGGTGGGTTCTGGCACAGCAGCCTGATTGATAAAAACCTGATTGATTTCTTCATCCCATTCCTACCTCTGGAATACAGACACGTCCGCATGTGTGCCCTGGCAGAGATGGCAATTCAGAACATGGAAAAAGACGAAGACATTGCGGATAAAGTCGCCAAAGACATGGTGTACAGCCCAAAAGACGAGAGGGTATTCTCCTCTAAGGGCTGCAAAACAATCACAAGCAAACTGGAATACTACAAATAGAGCAGTTGGCTAAAAAGACAAATGGGCTTAATATTTGCTACCACAAAGGCCTCTTGTTTGAAGATGCTGGCCAGGAGGAATCTGCAGGTTGGACAGAGAAAAAAATGGACCTAGAGGAATGATACGCATTTACATTTGGCTTCTTATTGGAAGGATGCAGATTTGCCACATCTGAAGACCTGAGTGAAAAATGAAGAACTTCACTAGACATTATTTCCGACCTAATTAAAACTAGCAGTGCAGACTCTGAAATCCCCTGACATTATTTTTCTTAAAATATAAATTTATAATGTGAACAATGCTGGGGCATTTATGTGCAGCCACATTTATACAAAAATTTAACCTGATAATATCAGTTTCAGTTCTGAAAGTAATTTTTCATTCATCTTCATTAAGCCAATATCACTCGCCCACCACAGCACTAAAGTATCTGATTTCACTGTGGTTTTAGTGAAGTTGAGTTAATTCTACATTTTGCTGTGGTTATCCATTAAAAAGGGAACATCCAAAACACTCAATTTTCAGATTCTGAAAAGTAAAAAGTACCATTTGTAGCTTTTGCCAGATTTATCAAGTAAAAGTAAAGGGCTAACACGGGTGACTGACACTTCCTGGCAGGTCCTACTACTATAAATTATCTGGTTAATCCATAGTTTTGTCCAGTGGTAAGATAATATAATAATATGAAATTGTTCATTCCAAACAGCAGTGTTGCAATGTTTACTGAAACCATTGGCAAATATTGATTTTCAAATGCAATATTTTTAAATTACTTAAGGTTTGCGATAATTGAGCTGGATTTGGAACTAGAGATTAAATATTCTTTCGACTGATTGTCAACGAATGTTCAGCTAATCTTCTGCCTTTTGTGTTTAGATACTGTTATCGAAAATCTCTTTCATATGTTGATCTCAAAACGGTCACCTGTGTACTAAAAGAATTATTTTTTTTTTAATCATGGGATGTAATTTTATTTTTCCTTGAATATGGTGTTGGTTTTTTCTGAATAATAAATATATGATCGGTCATTAAAACTCATTTTACATCTTGGAAGGTGATGGATACATGAAAGTATGTGTCTCAGTGTCTCCTTAAGAGGAAGCGATCCTTGAGTGGATGTGACTATAGCTCAGGAAAGTCAGGGTAAATGCTGTCCTTTTGGGTAGCTCAGGGTAAATGCTGTCCGTTTGGGGAGCTCACTGATGCTTTGCTCCAGAAAATGTCTGATTCAGGTTTACAGCAAGAATGAGGAACCATCATGGTATTCAGACTAGAAAGGAGGGCTGTCTGATTGGCAGCTGCCCTTTGTCACCGATTCTGTTCATAACTTTCATGGACAGAATTTCTAGGTGCAGCCAGGGCGTTGAGGGTGTCTGGTTTGGTGACCTCAGGATTAGGCCTCTGCTTTTTGCAGATGATGTGGTTCTGTTGGCTTCATCAGACCGTGACCTTCGGCTCTCGCTGGGACAGTTCGCAGCCGAGTGTGAAGCGGCTGGGATGAGAATCAGCACCTCCAAATCCGAGCCCATGGTCCTCAGCCGGAACAGGGTAGAATGCTCTCTCCGGGTTGGGGATGGGGTCCTTCCCCAAGTGGAGGAGTTTAAGTATCTCGGGGTCTTGTTCACGCGTGAGGGAAAGATGGAACGGGAGATCGACAGGCGGATCGGTGCGGCGTCAGCAGTGATGTGGGCGCTGCATCGGTCTGTCATGGTGAAGAAGGAGCTGAGTCAAAAGGCAAAGCTCTCGATTTACCAGTCAATCTGCATTCCTACTCTCACCTATGGTAACGAGCTGTGGGTAGTGAGTGAAAGAACGAGATTGCGAATACAAGCAACCGACTCAGAGTACTCAGAATAGAGCCGCTGCTCCTCCGCATTGAGAGGAGTCAGATGAGGTGGCTCGGGCATCTGCTTAGGATACCTGGACGCCTCCCTGGTGAGGTGTTCCAGGCATGTCCCACTGGGAGGAGGCCCCGGGGAAGACCCAGGACACACTGGAGAGATTATGTCTCTTGGTCGGCCTGGGAACGCCTCGGGATTCCCCCGGAGGAGTTGGATGAAGTGGACAGGGAGAGGGAAGTCTGGGTTTCCCTGCTTAGACTGCTGCCCCCGTGACCCGACTCGGACAAGCGGTAGAAGATGGATGGATTGATGGTGTTCCCCAAACAACTGTCACTTGCTGCGTCCATCTAATCTGAAGTCGTCCCAAGCTCACCACCCTGTACGATTTCTAGAAGTAGTGGATGGATCTCCTGGAAATGTGAATCTTAATAAATGTGTTTTTACCTTAATAGGCTGAGTCTTTGTTGTGACATGTAGGGTTTATACACTACTTAATTATATTATATGGATTCTGTTATTGCACTGTGACCAAAATGTTCTGTGACATAACAGAACTGTGTCAGATACACCAATGGTATATATGCACCTCTGGATTTTCTATTATATTACACCTCTTGATTATATATGCACCTCTGGTTAACAGTTTTATTTTTTCATTGGTCATGATGAATTAAATCATGCGCACAAATTAGTTTAGCATTGCCAAGAAATTCTAAATTGAGCACAAGAAATGCTTTGATTACCCAAGAATTTAATGGCATTAATCAGCTTTTTCAGAATCTCATGGCTTTTCCTCGCCACACCGTTATGCCCTAGCTGACTGGAGAGACATGCTCTTCTCCATCAAACTATCAATCCTCACTACGGTTGCAGAATAAGGGAGGCCACCCTGCCCCACCTCTCAGAGTCCACGATGATAAAATATGCTGGGGGGTTTTTTGGATCTGGCCCCCCTATCAGAACAACTGGCCCCAGTCTGCCTCGTCCCTCCTCAGTTGAAGGTCTCCAGTTGCCACTGGGTGTTTCTCAGCCTATTTCCTGGAGTCTAGGGGATACAATAAACTTAAAAAACAACTATGTTCCCTGAGGACACGAGTGACCCCAGAATTTAACCTACCAAAGTGTGGGCAGACATCAAAATGTAGACTCAGCTTTTTACATATTGTCGATCAATTCAGATCAAAAACAGAAAAACGTGCAAAGAAATACTAAAGCAAAGGATATTCTTCTCCATCTGTTAAGCAGAAATGTTTTGCTCTTTATCAGCTGTGATATGTACCACTGTGTCATTCCCACTGATTCACATCATCATTGTCCAGTGATTGATTTTTAATGTAACAAATACAGCCCTAAAACAGTACAGACACTCCTCTACTTACGAACAAGTTTCGTAACTTGAAATGTACGCAACTCGTTATTCAACATCATTTCAAGGGTATACGCAAGTACAAAGAACTAGGACGCTGGGAGTACGCACGCTATGCTGCTGCGCGATGGGAGTAGCGGCCAGAAGTCATACTAGGCAGAATTGGCACGCAGAAAAAAAAAATATGTTGCGGACAGGAAACGGGAGCCCAGTGAACACAATTTGGACTTCGTGTCTGAAAGTTCGTAAGTTTAAAGTTCGTAAGCAGAGGAGCGTCTGTATTAACTGTTTCTGACTTGATCTTGATTGGGCAGCTATTTCACTGGGAAACACAGTTTTCATTCAGTTTGCACATGAAACACGCAATGGATTTTATCTAAGCAAGCATTTTCACCTAATAGCAAGTTGTCAGGAACAAGCCATTGCAGGTGTACAAAATAAACAGTGAACATGAATTGAGACAACAGAAGGCTGATGCTCCGAGATTTTTTATTTGGCACAGTTAATACAATGTAAAGTTTTCAGTGCTCAGAAACAAGCATCCCAAATGTAATGGAAAAGTGCATTTGGCAGACTTCACAAACAGAACAAAACCAAGGATCCTACTTAGCAAAGCAAATTTCTACAACTTAACAAAACTGCATTATTTTGTTTATAATTCTATTTTGTATATAGAAAACTTAAGTATTTCCACTTTTGAACAAATAAACTGGACCAGCAGAGTTCCAATAGCACCCTCTACAGGATACGGAGGGTGGTGAGGTCTGCTGTGTTGAGCTGGACAGTAGGTGTCGCATTGGTATTACTTCTGCCTTCCGTGTAAAAAAAAATGGACAGTTACAGCTATATTATCCTTCATCTTGATATACTGTCACTGTTTCCAATAATGAGCAATTCAAATCTATTTTATGCCAAAACATTTTTTGACGGCTGACTCACTGTTAACGCTATTGTTCATGTCCAGTTCTTAAATAGAGAGAAAATAAGTAAAAAGTATCCTATCACATATCTGTCCCAGACATTCAGGTCATTGCTGTTTTCTTCAAAAAACAGTCAAGCTATTCATTGAAGACTGTTTTATCTGTTAGAATTACGCTCTTAACCAGTTGAAACTGATTTATTATTAAGTGGAACTGGCAGACAGTGGTACAAATATATTCAGCTAAAATGGCTTAAATCTCTTTGACCCAGAAGTTAAAATTATAAAAATTATTAAAATCATTATGTGCCTTAAATAAGGAAAAGAACGTGGATTATGTGGATTGACAATAATGTACTGTCTGGTTCCACACAAAACAGCTTTCTCCTTGACGATAATAATAAAAAAACAACCTTATGTTGTTAATCAGATTCTTCACAGACAAAATGACATCTACTCAAATTATCAGCACAAACAATTCAGTAAGAACCTGTTCGGCTTTTCCATATCCTTGGAAAACTGGAGGTGAAACACATGAACAGGATACCTAGAAAGACATGAAGCTACCACAATAATTTGCGTTGATGCTGGGAATTTATGATTCATTGTGTTTTTTACTGCATTGACAAGGAGAGTTTTACACAGTATCCCAAAGACTAAATCCAGAGAACACGTCAGCAGTCTTTTGTGGAACACTGCTTAAATAACTTGCCAGTGATTATTATATAGACATATATATATAAAATATATTTTAATATTTATACATATATACCAGATTTTAAGGTCTTGGGATCCATAACCTTTTGGTGTCCACTGTCGAAAGTGTCACGGTGCCAGGAGATCTGATCTTGAAGAAAATTCAACACTGAAACAAGTGATCAAGCTAGAGGCAACGTAAAAAAAACCAAATAATAAAATGAAGACAGGAAAATGAAACCACAGGCACGAGACACAACAGTAGCAAATTGGTTAGGACAATGTACAGACAATGCATTAACCGAGAGGGCACACCCCCATTCAGGACTGGCAGAGGCAAAGAGAAGCATGGAATGCTTGGAGACAACGTCATTGCCTAGAGGGTCTAGCTGCACAGCGCTCACAGGAGCCAATGGCAGCAGTCTGGAGGTGGAGTTTAGGCGTGGCCAGTGGCAGGAGCTGCGACCAATGAGAATGCTGCAGGGTGAAAGTGCAGTACTGGTGCCTAGCCAATGTGACTTGGCTTCCTCAATCTAACAGATGCACAAATAATAAGTAAGCAAATACCGGAAATAGTGGCACCAGTGATACATTTAAAGCATAATTGCATTATATTGTTGGTGTTAGACCATGTAAACAGCTTTAGGGCTGGAATCACCATTACATGCTTTTGAAATGTAAAGTTAAAAAAAGACTTGGATTTTGTCCTCATTGACAAGCCGCAATAACTGTGGTCCTGCATTTGTCCTGTGACCATCCACTACTGGATGCTATTCTCCATGTCCCTAGGGGCAGGAACATCACATGATCATGAGATCAGAGCTCTTTGCCAGATATGCAAATGAGACTATGAAGCTCACAAAAGCTGAAGTTATGGCTGCAGTTTCATCTCCCACAGCTCACCCACCTGGTCCAGTCCTAAATCTGACCACAGTTGGCTGTGCTTGGAGTGGGGGGTTGTGGGAAATGGGGGGGGGTGAGGAAGAACAAGCAGAGCATGCCTTAAAAGGTCTCTCTGCATTTAGTAGAGGATCCTGCATTAACAAGGCAGGGGGGGGGGGGGGAGGGGTTTGAGGGTGAGCTAGCAATTTCTGTGCACAAAAATGGAGGCCAAGTTAGTACATCAAGAAGCAAGCTACGCTGACATAACAAGCAGAAAGGTGGCTGCTAAATTCGTTCTGGTCCTTTTGGCAACAGACTCAGAAGCAGCACTTAGCGGACTTCAGTGTGAAGTTAGACTGAATCGCTCACAACCTGACCCCCGTTTTGCAGTATCACTGCCTAAAGACGTTTAAAAACGTAGATGGTTTTCTCCGATGGAGCTTGCCCTGCCATTCCTGTGCCAGGCCCACACTTTTAGGCATCTGCAATTTAGAGAATAAAATAAAACAAAAACAAATAAAAACAAACATGTTAGAGAGGATGTATAAAATAAAAAGAAACAACCCAATATGATGTTTGTTTTCTGTATTCCCTTTTCACATGCAGGCAATGCTAATCTATATGATAACAGGTCATCATCTAATGGAGATTTAATATTCAAAGGGAAGTTATCCCACAAATGTAGCTTTTCTATCTACACAAGCGATACTTACTGAAGAATATTTTCTGTTTAATATTCTCTTCTTTCACTTAGTTTTGAAAGCCATTGATCAAGCCAGAAATGCCACAGGGAAACATTTCAGCTTACATCAATGCCCAACATGCAAAAAAAAAAACGTTTTTATGCAAATGAAGACTAGCATGCTTTAATTTGGTAACGACAGCATTTCATTTCTTCCCTGTATGCATAAAATGAGTAATGAAATGGTTGTGTGAATAACACTCGACATGAAATTTACTTACACTTTTCCCCTCTATTTCAGAAAAAAAGTGGTGATGTTACACGTCAGGGAAAAACGAAGAATCTCCTTGAACTGCATAAAAGGTTTCAACTTCGCTCTACGTCTGAGACACGGTCTGCTATCAAGAGCAACATCACAGGGGAAACCGAAATGTATATCATCGGACAGGTTGCAGGACTGCAGATATGTGTACAAATCCATGCATGTTAAATCAACAGTCTGCTTGACAGAGAAAAAGCAGTGGCTGTTTGTAATGGGAGGCATTTTTAGGGGACTTGAGTGACGAGGACACGATCAGCTAAACATTCACATCACTGCAAGGTGAAACTCAGCCAGCATCTGCAGATCATCCTGAGTGATCTACCCAGCTGTGTCCTACAGAAAAACACCCACCTGCTGGAGTTATACTGCTTTATACTGTGCTATACTGTGCTATACTCAGCACACCTGTTACTCTGACATCAGCGGGTGTGCAAGTATGAGTGGGAATGGCATTTTGATGTTGTTAAGTCGAATGGAGAAAAAAGATTTATTATATAATGGGACTTTGCCTAAAGTATGCAGGGATGCCTACAGCAATTACAATACTAGAGCAGCTATTACGTTTAATGTCTCTCAGTGATTTTTTTCTGCTAATCAGTAACACAATAAATTTGCATTATTTACTACAGTGCAAAACAGCATGCATTTCTAAATGATGTGTCATGTCTCAGGTCTTCTGCACATCCTGTTAAGCGCTCCGGAAACATTATAAAACAGTTTGTGACCAACAGGGATTCATAAGATTTAAAATGTCTCAACTATTCATTGGAGTAGGAGAGACATGGGCCCTACAGCATTGCAAGTCAGGAGCCGGCAATGTAATATATAGAGAATTCATATTAAAACACCTTTATGATATACAGATACATTTATTTATTGTCACCCTCTGGCAGTTAATAATTAATACATGTTATTTAATGCAATATATACAGAAAGATGTATTCTGATACTTGACCTGGGTAATCAATACAATTCTCTGCCTAACATAAAAGAATATTTTATTTGGGGAAATGTTTGGGAAACAGATTTGTAAACTTCATGTGTCAATTTGACTTGTTGCTGCTCCCTAAGATTGCATTGCTGAGGAGAATGAGAAGCGGTGGATCAGTAGCAGTTAGAAAAGCCATTATAATTCTTTTTTCTTTATGAATGCGAGAATCTTTTAATATCAAAAGGGTGTGATCTCCTGTAAAACATGGTTTCCTGTTGAGAATAGCGTGGAAAATGCTACTGACTATGCTACACATTGGTGGGGGCGACCTTCAGAGCTACATAAGCCATAAAATCTCTAAACAACTTCAACGCTGTTAGGGTTTAAATAGTCATGTTCCTCCAGCCCCCTTCTGTCAATGTGACGAGCGAATGAAGCAAATGTATGCGGGCAGTTTGACGACACAATAATGGAACAGGGAGAGGGAGCACAGACTGCAGCTGTCAGTGGCTGGGATCCTGCTCTCTCCTCTAACATGGCAGCGGTCACGTTCCAGCCAGCACTCCCACAGCTTTTAGCTTCTCTGATAAATTAAATACAATCAACATAAATAAAAAACATGGGACGATGTGGTCATTAAGCCATCTAGCTGCCTGATCGGCCTGTCCAAGGGCTGCTCCTTGATGTAGTGGAACAGGGAATGAAACGGAAATGTCCTACACTACGGTGTAAGACTTTGGGACCGGCGCTGAGTAGCCAGGCATCCACCCCTTGGTTCTGACCTGCGCCCCCCAGCCAAGGAAGCAGAGAAGCCCGCGGCCGCCCATCACAGCACTTAAATGTATGTCATAGCACCTTTGCCATTGGTGTCCAAAAAGACCTCGACGTAGGACGTGGGAACGTATCCCTCCTCCTCCTCATTTCGGCGCACGCGGGTCCAGCCATCACCCTTGTCCTCCTCGATCACGTACAGCAGCTCTCCCTCCATCACAGAGATGGTGCCCTCATTATTCCCTGAGAAGGTGGCACATAAATGAATCAACACCCATCAACACCTTTCTGCACCAATCACATTACAGAATTTAACCGTGCCGTGGTGTTAATGCCTTAATCAACATACTTCTGACCACTCAGATTTCAACTGAATTTAACTGTGCAGTGGTATAAATGCCTTTAACCGTTTTTTAATCAACACCCTTCCCACCAATCGGATTAGAGAATTCAACTGTGCCGTGGTTAAAATGCCTTTTTGCTTTGCTGTGTTGCTGCAGCAGCCATTAGACGAAGGGGTACCTTCAAAGCAATATAGCGCCTTGCACGTTCCGATGGTGGGCAGCGTCTCCTCATCGTCAAATTCATCGTCAAACTCCACATTGGGCACCTTTATCTGGGCCTCCGAACTCTGCTCCTCTGTGTAGCTGCCATCCGGGCTGCTCAAGGAGGAACAAATACAGTAACTATAGCAACAGCACTACTCTCAGGGGGGGCTGTTGGGTGAAGGTGGATGTGAACGTGTCGGCCTCCTGTTCCCTACTGTACCTCTCGCGGTCCTGGGCGCAGTTGTCGTTGCTGGGCACGCTGTTCTGGGTCTCGTACAGCACACTTTGTCGCTGCGGAGGTTCGGACTTCACTGGCATCCTCCCTTCCACTTCTGCCAGCCAGCCCTACATCACAGTGTAGAATTTTGGAACATAACTGGGTTGGTCTGGATTGGGGGCCCAAAATCTGAAGCCTATTATGAGCAGCATAGAGCCCAGGACAGGGGAACACCAGTGATGGAATGCCAGTTACTCTGTATACAAATAAAACATCCATCCACCCACCCATCCATCCATCCATTTTTTGTAACTGCTTATCCTATTCAGGGTTATGGGGTGGGGTCTGAAGCCAACCCATCGCAGCGCATACTCACACATCATTCTTACACACATGCACGCTATGGGCAATTTGGCCCCTGCAGTTAAACCTCAGCATGTTTTGGGACTGTGGGGGGAAGCCAGAGCAGCAGAGAGATAAAGTCATGTCAAGTGAATAACACAGTTCCCAGCTGCAGCTATTGCTAAATATGACATTATATAATTAAATGTCTGTAATATAAGCATCCATTATTTTCTTTCGGGCGATTCTGATACAAAGCAAGGCACATAAACCATCGTGATCAAAGGCGATGGAAACTCTGCACATCCCAGCCTCACATGAACTCGCTGTTATGTAAACAGGGGAGGCGAGGCAGAAGGAAAAAACTGCTCAAACAAATAAGGAAACAAGAATATTTCACACTGGGCCATGCTTCAAAATTAGCCACAATTAACAGATGTCTAAGTTAGAAAAAGTCAGAATATAAACCAGAGACACAGATGGCTTCTATGGCTGACATTCAACAGGATGCAAACGTCTAAAATACAGGAAAAGAATGGGCTATGATCCAGCACTATTTTATCCTGAGAATCGTTATTCATTATTTTGTTTTGCAAAAGTCATTCTGAGAATGTTTTATACCTAGAGTGACTGAAAACCAAACTTGAAGCATACAGCTATATCATGCAAAAATCTTGACACAGAGTCTACTTATCCAAAAGTATCTATTTAGTTCAGGGTTGTGGAGAGCCTGGAACCCATTCCAGGTGGCAGAGGGCACAGGGCAGGGGCTGCCCCGCACAGGGATGCCGGTCTGTCACAGGGCGTAGGGCAGGGGCTGCCCTGCACAGGGATGCCGGGCTGTCATAGAGCAAAGGGCAGGGGCTGCCCCGCACAGGGATGCCAGTCTGTCATAGAGCAAAGGGCAGGGGCCGCCCTGCACAGGGATGCCGGTCTGTCATAGAGCAAAGGGCAGGGGCTGCCCCGCACAGGGATGCCAGTCTGTCACAGGGCGTAGGGCAGGGGCTGCCCCGCACAGGGATGCCGGTCTGTCACAGGGCGTAGGGCAGGGGCTGCCCCGCACAGGGATGCCGGTCTGTCACAGGGCGTAGGGCAGGGGCTGCCCTGCACAGGGATGCCGGTCTGTCACAGGGAGGTTATTTACTTTTAAGTTGCATTTTCACCTTTGATTTATAGAAGATGAAGCAGAGAGAGCTTATTGGCGAGAAAACAGTCACGAAGCATCATCTTAATGAGGTGGCATCCTGCACTGCCCCCGCAGGCCAGGATAAGCAAAACGCTGGCCTTTACATGCTCTTCATTGTCCATCTGCTGTCTCCTTGTATGCTGTGCTATATGCACAGCTGTTTTGCCTAGTCCTACTTACCCCATGACTTCCCTTTGTCAGCATACATCACAGATGGTGTCTGCTATGACTCAAAACAAATGTGCTGTCTTTACATAATAAAGTCTGCATTTTACAGTACATACCCAGGAATATGAAAAGGGCTTGATGGCACTGTTGGCATTGTTGTTACAACTGAAGAAACATGCTCACCTCAAATTTCTGTGCCTCAAGCTGAAGTTTCTCGATATTCTGCCCAGTCTCTGCTAGCCGAGGATCCACACTGCTGGGGTCTCCCATGTGTGGATTCTTCACATATACATCCTTCATTTTAATAAGAGCATCCCTGAAAACACCATAGCCATGACATGGTTAGCATCTAATCTATGAAATACAGCTGCAAGTCCCCAAAAGCCCCACGGCCCTTGTTGAGACAAGGGGTTCGCTTACTTCTTGTCCATCTCCTTCTCGATGTCCTTGTTGATGTCATCAACCTTGGCCTGCAGCTTCTTCCTCCTCTGTTCAGGTGGCAGGTGACTGAAATCTTCAGACCCAGCACCCTGAAACAGTAATTGCAGCGACAACAGACAGAGAAGGATCAGGGCCCAGTCAGAGCCGCATGGACACGGAGAAGGCCGACCTGTAACTGGTAGGTGCAGTGTCCTCTCTATGGAGCATCATAAAGACAAAAAAGCTTTAATGCAAATTTGCCATCAAGCATTTCTATAATAAATATTTATTGTTCTTGAATTTTATTTACACACACTGACCATGAAGGCAAATGTATAAACGTCCAACTACCTTTCAGTGCAAAAGTCATTTACTGCACCTTAAAATCTAATCAGTGAAGAGAAGATATATACACACATCCTGCTTTATCAGAAAATGTAAAAGTCTACGTCACAGCAGCTATATAGTTGGTAGGTCAGGGCATATAGGTATATTATATGTTTCACTGTCGTTACGGGATACATTCTGAGATTAACATAGCCTGATGAATAAAGAGGACACTGCAGCCTGACCTGGCAGCAAACCTCTGAGGTGAACCTATTCAGTCCCATGTACACCAATGCAGGTCACTGGCATCTGAAGACCAAGCCATAATTATAGAAATGACCCAGAATATAAAGATTGTCTCCCAAGACTTTTTTGAAACTGCTAGAAGTGTAGCAAAAATCATTTTAAAAACATAAACTAATAATGATAAAACAATAATTGGATTTACTCAGATGCTATTCTATAATTATTTCGCATCATTCACATTTTATTCGCTATCCATTTGTCCAGCTACTAAAATGTGGCTTATTAGTGTTAATTTGTTGTTCAGCCACTTGGTGGCGCTATATTGTGAAGTCTCTTGCATATCCTTCTACAAGGAAAAACTGCACAAATTAAGTATAACAGGAATGCGAGACGCTATAACCTTTTCATAGTCGTTTGCTTTTATTTCATAAAACACTTCATGACTTCAGTCTTAATTTTATGCGTGATGATGATTGACATCTGAAAACCATCTGATGAAGATGAAACAGTCCTTCAGAATTTGTTTCATCACACCAAATAGTGAAGTGTAGTATAGGCCTGGACTGAAGAGGGAACTTCAGAGGTACCGTATGGGAACTGAAAAGATGCATAACAGAGAGGGTCACGGTGCTAGAATGAACCTGTGTGAGATGCACTACAGACTCCAATAGGTTAGCAGCACAGAGAAATACTTACCTCCTTGGAGTAAATATTATTTTAATACTAATCTAGATCTATTTGACAGATGAGAAATACATAAGTAATTCTGGATGAATTATTAATGAAGCATAATAAAGTTAAAATAATCAACTTACCTATTATTTTCTACTATTTTGTTATGAAAAACACTTTTGTGTTCAGCTTTGCTATAATTTTGATGGTTTTACACATTTGGTTTAGTTTTTTTACAGTACTCTACTTAGCTAATAACAGCTTCATGACTGAGCGGATATTTTTTATGAACACCTTTCTTTTGTAAAATCGAAATACTTCAGAACAAAGGTACTTTGCGACCTATGTAGTGTAACAAAATTGGAATATACACTGTAAAGCTCACATAGCATTTGCCATCTATAGGCCTCATTCATCAAAAAGTCATAAGTGTTTGTATGTATTTAACGTGATGTAACCTAACTGGAAAATTACTACATGACAAATTTCAGTAAATTTACTAAGGTTGATCAGTTTTACATTATTTCAGGAAACTTCATTCACTGTGATAAAGGCGAGTAGACCTTGGTTATAGTAGTTTAACAATATCAATTTCTATTCTTTGAGAATAAAATATGAATTATATTAATAATTATGATTCATGCCTATATGCTCCTAGCGCTCCCTCATTACAGTTTAACATGAAAATCTTTCATTTTAGTATAAACCTCGACATTACATTCTGCAGATGCCATAAATGCAAAGGGCCCATTCCATTGTGAATGGCAATTCAATCAGCACATTTTTTTTCTTAATTGCATAGGTTTCCTCTTAGGATGACCTGAGGATCTTAAGATAGTATTCCTGTAAGTACTGCATTTGACATGCATCTTATGCTAGTAGAACCACTTAAGGTTTCAGATTCCAGAATAGTATAGGTAAAAAATAATTACATTCAAAATCGTATTGTGCTCCAGTTAATCAGCTATGACTAAAGAGAATACAGTTAAATACTTTTACAGTATGAAAATATAACTGAAATATATACTGTTTAATATATTACTAATGCATTTACAATTAGCAAAATATATAATTGATAATCTATCCAAATACCTTCATTAAATGCACAGTTATGAAACACAGCAAAAATATCCAGCTTGTAGTAAAATAATTCAGGATCATGCATATTTAAGCGCACATAGTAGATGATTTATTGAGTAATCTTTAAATTAAGAATGACTTTTCAGGTATATATGATCAATGAGGCCTTGTCTGAGGAGAAACTGATTACACTGAATCGTTTGCAATGAGTCACCATTTCAGTTGGCTGAAAGCTTTAATTTGTTAAAATTTTAAATTTATCCAATCAGATGTGAAAACACAAAGACAATTAAGTAACAAACAACTGAGTCATCTGAAATCTAAGGCCAAACAAAAGAGGGAAATGTAACCATTTCTTTTGGGTAACAGGCCAGATCACATCTCAAGGAGCTACACTCAAAGGTCATGCGTAGCTAAAGAGCTAAATATTGGGTAAAGTTCAGCAAACTGTCACATACTGTCTGTGCATAAGGATAAAAAGGAGCTGGTATTTTGATGCATGACTTTATGTGACGAGTGTTTACTACCATACCTAACATGCACTGTGGTGTTTGCATATGTGACTGGTGAAATATTTTATCAGTATTAGCTTAGTCTGCACAAGTCACAAAATGCATGGCTCAGAAATGTGAGGCAAAGCCTCCTAATTTAATAACATTAGTAACATGAAGTATCTAACATTTTGTTACAATGACAGTATCACAATAACATTTTTAATTGGACAATTATAATACACATTATTTGGACTACTAAAATACTAAAATATTAAATATCATAACTTAATGCCACATATTAAAAATATGACTGCTTCAAATACCAAATGTATGAAGTATGCTCAAATAAGAAAAAAATATTTTGAGACATCAGAATTAAAGTATGAAATATACGGCCAAGATTAAGTAGAATTTTAATTTAAAGCAGTACTGAAATGTGTTTAATGTCCTTGTTATGTGAATTTCAAAAGCACATTTCCTGTATTGTAAGATAATGCCAGTTCCCTGAAAAATATTCTGAATTACTCCTGCAGAACGCATGCATATTCTGGATGGTTCGTTTCTCTTGGCCTGGATAGTTTATTTCCCCCTTTGTGGGTGACTCATTTTGGTAGTGAGTTTCGAACTGAAATCAAATTCACTGTAGTGGTACTCATAAAAAGGATCCTGAGATTTGGAGAAACAAAAACATAAAATGAATAATTTGTATCACCTCAATAAGACTCCGGACCTGAGCATTGAGCGTTATCTGACAGAACGAACACCAGTGCAGACAAGGACACAGACAAAACAAAACACAAAAACAAACAACAACAACAAAAAAAGAGACAATAACAAGTGTCGGCAATTAATCCTGATATGAACAACAATAAACAGAAATAACTAAATTCAGACAAAAAAGGAATCCAAGTATGAATAATATAAGGGTGCATGCTTTGATCATGCTTACCAGCTTGAGAGAAAGCTTCATGGTAGAAGGTAGAATAATGAAAAACAAAAGAGAAAAGACAAAAAAAATGTGAAGTTGACATCAGCAGAAAATTACCTTGGACATTTCTGGAATTTCTGTTGGTAGTTTGGACGTCACATATGGGAAAAGCCTTAGAGGAGCATACAGGTACGGTTGTGTTTCTTATTGCTTTTGAAATAGAATACATCTACACGTCATTGAAATATTTCCAAATTTTGCTGTGGCAAATACTTCAGACGAGTTGCACATCTGTCAGAGTGAGATGATGCGTCACAACTGCAGAAGGACAACCCACTGAAGGATCCCAAACCTTCTCGTTTGCCCCTGAGGGCTTGTGGTAATGCAGAGATCTGATCAAGAGATCCAATCAAAGGAACTGCTTTCAGTAAACAGATTTTTAGATTTTAGAAACAGATACCAAAAAAAAACGTTGTGCAAGGTATCATGGGAACACATCTGCAAAGCATCAAGGTCGTTAATGAGAAACACCAATTAATTTTTTTTCTCTTTTTGCTGTTATTAACTTTAAATTCTGAGATGAGGATGGCCAGCCAACTAGTTCATGCTGCTAGTCAACCAGCAAGAAGGATGGGAAAAAACGAGAAAGTGACAATAACCAGGCCACATGATCTGCACGTGCACACACACACACACACACACACACACGCATACACCCACACACACACACATGCACACATGCCCAATAGTTTAAAAGCCCAAAAGCTGTAGGCAGGTGAAAGGCAAGGAGAGACGGTGAAAGAGTAGGCATGGATTCTCTTAACAGGACCCTCTCCCATTGTCCTCACTGCTGCTCCCACTCAATGCAGTCACAGGAAAATGAAGAAGTGCAAATTTGTGCATAACCCCCACCCCCATAAACAAATGACTTCACACAGAAACGACACCCTTTTCTTCTTTTTCATCATCAAAAATAGACACTCCCTGAACTACTTCTAGAAGCAATGTAATAGTAAATGAAACCATGTAACGTAAAATTATAAAAATATCTTGGCAAACACAGCTGCTAACTATAATAAACCGCAACAATAAAATAAACAGAATAAAAATAATGCATAAAATCCGTAGGTAGACCTTGCAAGAATAATATTTGTTTGTTGATTCAGGTTCCAAGAGGGATTAAATTGCTGCAACCCAGAATAAGGTTGCTAAACCGAGACAGTGATAGTGAAAATCAACATTATACAAAAGTCAAACAAACATCTTTCTATATATTTCCTAACTACTCTAACCCAGCAAGTCACAGCAAACCTGGGATGTATAGGGCAAAGATAAGGATGCACCCAGGGTAGAATGTCATTAAACAGCAAAACTGAATAAAATCACATTTTTAAAAAGAATTTCAATCACCTAGCATGGACAAGATTGTGCTTCTTTATAAGTTTGAAAATAAAACATGTTAAAAGAAATACCAAAAATACTGACCATGCTGTTAATGATATAGAGAGAACCCTCATGGTAGTACCTGTTTACATTTTATAATTGAACGTCAAATCTTTATAATCATAACTTTATATCGATGGGCAATTAAAAATCAGTGAGTGCAGAGATCAGCAACTACAGCCAGGACTTCATGCATGGATAAAGGTGGCTGCTGTGCAGGGATACCTTCGGGGAGACCCAATAAAAACGGACAACCTGGATTTACAGACGTGATATCGCCAGCACAGAGAAACCAGGAGGGGTAAATTCTGGCTGCCCCAGTATCTTAAAGTGTTACAAGCACTAGGAGACGCACAGAGGCAGATCACAGGTGAAAACTCCAGAAAGGCGGAGAAGAGACGACGGGGCAAGCCGAAAGAGGAGAGGAAGGCCTGTCCGGCCACGTGAGAGCGCCGCCTGAGGTCGGCCTCTGCTTCGCGCCCAGCTGCTGTGCTTGGCACACCTTTCGAATTAACCCCTTGGTCGCAATGCTGACACATGAGCAGCGGGGGGCAGCACAGAACAAGAAGCTGGGTGAGCCGAGCGGCTGATGAGGTTTATCGCGCATGGACATGTAAATCGGATGGTGTGTGTTACTGGTGCAGCCGCTTCCACAGACACTAGCCCCATTTACGGGACAGAAAAAACACCATTTTAGGCAAAAAGATGACCAAAAAACCATCAAGATATTCAGTGCATACGCTTGAAATCTTTCAGATGTGGAGATAGGGGATAGTACCTGATTTGTCCAAAGGGATAATGCGTGAAATAAGGAGTGTTAAAGGTTTCAAACAGGACGAGAGAGTCAGCCCTCCTCAGACACTGACACTGCACATGTTTTACAGCGGTTTGAAGTGTTTAGCACCTGGAGATGCCGCGCAGCGTTTGTTCGCCTGGCGGGCCACGCCAGAGGAAGCCACAGCCCACCCCCCCTCATCTTTTCAAATGCGGTTAGTGTCTGTGCAACTGCTTGCTGTGCGTGCACACACACTTACGACATACTGCCTGGCCTCGAACGCGTACGTAGGCTTGCCCAATGTCCTCTTCATGAGCTCTATCTGGTACGAGCAAGAGCAGCCAGCCTGCTGCAGGGACGGCGACGGAAGAGAACAGAGCTTCATTAATGGCCGATTCCGGAAGTGACACACAGAGGGACTACAGCACACGGCGGTGACACGGTGCGTGTGTGCATAGCCACACACAGAGATACTGACACACACACACACATACAGGCTAACTGTGTGTCCTGGCAAACATGCACACATAAATACACACACAGATGTGCACGCAAACATTCACACAGGCATACATACATGTAAAAACACACACATATGGATAAATATAAAAACCAGACACAGACTCTAAGAGATGAACCAACACGCACGCAGAGAAGTACCACTGCGCACACATAAACATGTGTATGCACAGACAGGAGCAGCGATACCCAGTATGATAAAGGGCCCAGCAGCCCCCAGCTACTGGCAAGAGATCAGAGGAGGGATCTGAGAGCTGAGACAGGTGGGGGCCACAACACCAGCCTGGAAGCAGGGGAGAGGTGGGGTGCCACGAGGGGGGGTCACCCAGGGCGACCACCCGGGACACTGTGCCAAAACTCACCACTGCAAACTTCTGCAGGTGGGATGGCAACTGGGAACAATTAGATCCCATCTGATTCCATGGATCATGAAGATCCCAAACATATTCCAGAAGACTGCCTGCTTTAGTACACGCTTACTGAAATACATTAAATATGTTACTCAAATAAGGAGTGAAAACTCAGCATATCAGAAAGCAAAACATATGGCAGTTCACAGCTACTTTATTGACCTCATATGAAACAAAATGATCACATGTATTTTTGCGCAGTGAGGGGTGTCTGCAACTGAAAATTACGGAAATGATTTGGAAAAAATAAACGATCGATCAAGAGTGGGTTATGTAATAGGATTCAATCAAGTGATGCTTCTGAACAAAATTACAGTCCAAGGTTTAGTTAGCAATCAACAAATGAGACCTTTCCAGAATAAAATTCTTTTTGAATCTAGTTGCTCACATAGCCAAACTAATTCAGCAGCTCCGTCTGCTTCCAAGATGCCAGAAGCATGACTGCAGCAGGAGGATAAAAGTTTTCTCTGTATTTGCATATTTCAAAAATAGGAAGACAACGACACAGAGAAGAGAGAGAGAGAGAGAGAGAGATAGAGAGAGATAGAGAGAAAGTGAGTGAGTTTAAAGAATATTATCCCCAGTGACGGACGGTATATCTCACCCACATTCATAAAATCCGCATTTCAAAATATTCCCTTCTTGCAAACTATATGAATATGAACTGCCGTAGCTTTCTTGCCTGACATTTGCATTTCCAAAAAAAGTAGGACAATGTGCCATTGTGCTGCAGTCAAACTTTCCTTGAACTGCAAGAAACTGAACTGTGTGTGAAGTGACTGATATACTGTGTATGTGTATATATATATATATATATGTGTGTGTGAGGCCCAACCTACTAATCCAGACACCGAACCGGGGATCACAGGTACAGAGGCCAAACATGAC